CACTATAATTTTTTTACTTGCTTTCAAAAATAAAACCTTATGTGATTGTGTAACCAATATTGCAACAGAAACCAGCATTTTCTTTTGTGAAGTCAAACATGTGCCCTCCCTTTGACTTTCAAACATTTTCACTTACACAGTCCTTTGATAGCTTTTTTTCCTCCGCCTTCTGGCAGAATGGCCCTACCACCCTTGTGTCATGAGCGAGGTACAAACTGGACTGAAAGATGATCAGGCACAAAATAATAATTTCATGGAGTAATGAAGACAAAAAATGAAATACTACCACTACTCTTTCACCCAAAAGAGGAAGAAGGGCTGAGAAAAGCAGAAGATGAGAAAATTCTTTCTCTACTGACATTCTCTCTGATCTCCACTTTCCAATTAACAAACATATATTAACAGCACCAAGAAATTAGTAATTCCTACCGAGGAATGACAGTACTGTAAAGTACTATTATAGATCAAGTTTCTTAAATAATCTTTAAAATAATATAATGAGACTTATTACAAGGTTTACTAAAGCTGAGAGAAACTATATGCTCTGCCTGGACAAACTCAGATTTCTAAAGTCTTTCTTCAGTCTTCACTAGGGGCTGTGAAACACATGGTGATTTTTTTGGAAATACTCTTTGTCTCTTGTTCTGATCAAGAGCACAGAGAGCTGTTCACAGCAAATCTTTCATGTCCATTTCAGGAGTTCTAGGCATTTCAGTGTGGTATATTGTCAAAGAGAGGTCTGGTTTTTCCCAAAACCCTCATTTTTTGGCTGGTTGTTTTGATTGATTGATCTGTATATTCAGAAATTCATGAAAATTTCAATAGCATCCTGAAAAATTGGAATTATTTCACTGTTAATGCTGACATAGTTTTGTACTGGTTCAGCAAAGACTTTTATGAAAATTTACATTTATAAATTCTTGGTATATAGCAGCCCCTAATAGCATGCTGGTAGTTTTATTAAAGTTAATGGTGATATTTGCGGGATCACAGCCTTTAATTTCCAATAGCTTTTTTGAATACTTTAAAAGATTAAGATGTAATAAAAAATTGCCTTAGCATGCATTTCCAAATGTTTTTGTGCAAAATGCGATCAAGATTAACATAACTTTAATACATATTTAAAATACATATTCTATTACTTCAAATAACATCTTGAAAGTCATTCTATAATGTCTGGAATTCAGTTGCAAAGACTGAATCAGAATTCAGTCACACTTCTAGTCTCTTTTACTATACATTTTTTTTTTGATTCATAGGCCAGTCTGAAACACAGTCTGGAAAACTTTTATAATAAAGACTTGAAAATTTGTGTATCATATTTGTTAGGTACCACCACACTACTTATTTTGATTTGGAAAAGATTGCTTACCTCTATTAAACTGTGAGCCTTTTAGCTTTGGGATCCTACTTTCACTGAAACCATAGTTTTGGATTGCAGCTCTTTTTTTGTAATGAGGCTTTTCCACCTGGCTGAATGAATGAATGACTGAGATGTTGATGCAGAAAAATTAAATTCAGATCCTTTATTACCTCTCTGTTTCCATGGCAAGATATGACTTGAAAATAGGATCTAATCCCTGGAGAAAGCAGTGGTTTCCCAAGTACCCTATAAGCAAGTATTTATAGGCAGGCACTCTCCAGATCTGTGCAGAGGAAATTAAAATAAAACACAAATTGGCAAACACTTTCCATTCAGTCGAGACTGAAAGAGTAGCCCTGTCTGTAAATAAAGGTGGTGGTAAATCTTGCCTGACAATTCTGTCACATGTAGGGTAGGCCAGCCTTGCGTAACATGGGCAAGGAGTGTCAAGTCCTGCTGGGGACAAACAAAAGTTTTTCAAAAAGTCAGGTCCTGTCCTCCATGGTACCGATGGGGACAAACAAGTTGCTACAAAATTAATCAAAACAGATTCTAGTTTGCTAGAAAGTGCAGTCCTTCACAGGACCGCAGTTCAGGCTTGCAAACTCTCAGAAGGTTTCTGGGACTGCAGAAGGTTGACTTTCAAGCTGCCAGTTTAATAACCCAGAGCAGTCAAGCAGTTGCTCTCTACAAAGCTGGCCCTGTTTCCTACGTGTTAGCAAGAGAAACAGTCTCATGCCAACATCGACACTTGCAAGGCTTGAGCTTTTCCTGGAAAAGTCACAATTATTCTTTGAGGAAGTTGTGTCAGCTGGTATCAAATGGATGATTTGGATGCTCTATGCACAGACCATTTGCCAGCAGGTTGGAGACTGGAGACCTGGCTGGCGTGGTGCCCCATTCTGGGGAGACTGGCCTCAGCTCTGATTGCTGAAAGTTCATCAAAGCAGAGCGCTTCCAATGAAATGCTTCAAGCTCAGAGCTTGTTTCAGCAGAAAAAGCAAATCTAACCAGCTCCAACCCAAGGTTCTTTTCTCTAAGCATAAATCATATATGGAATAAGTATGGAAAATTTAGGTAACATCTTAGACTGCTTTTCTTTTTACCTACAGCAAAACTTTTCTTTTATTCCAAAGCACGGCAACAAAGATTGAAAAAAAAAGCACGGCACTGCCTTGCCTAAAGCATGCTGAAGCTTTGTGGCATCTTTAGACTGGATTCTTGGCTTTGGAGACTAGAGAAACCTGAAAGTGTACTGGAAGTGAAGTCAAAACAGCTTGTTACCCAACTTGCTTTTTCCATAGAGTACCGAAATATTAAGAACACAGGCAAATAACGCTTGGATACAACTCTCTTTGTTTGTGTCGAGTTGCATTTGTTTGTCTGAAGCCAAACTGTGTGAATAATTTTGCATTCTTTATCTTAGCAGTGAATTGTGTGGTTCTGAAATTTGAGTAAGATAAGATCACAAACAAGTAAAAACGTGTAGGCTGAAAAATCAATATGTTTCAAAGTAACAGCTGAGAAACAAATTATTCCTGTACTAATAGGCTGAAAAGTAGGTTTAGAGATTCTGCTAGAGCTGGCAGTATTACCAACAGCTAAAGCAGTACTAGAAGGGAGTTGAGCTGCCTTCATAGTCAGATGTTAATCACGCCATCACCACGAAATAAAGACCGATAATGGTAAACTGCAACATGAGGGATTCTTTAAGCCTCTCAGTCTTTGCCTAATAATTGGATCTCAACCACTGTAGTTCTCTTTAAGTACTCATGCTGAGGTCTGCTCTTTTGATTTACCCTGAAATTTTCTAACATTTTACTTCAATTATTCAGAATAGCTACTCTCTTGCTAAGATGTTCCTATTTTTCAGTTCAGGACTCAATGTCATTGTCACCAAAGAGTGGCAGAATTCCTGCTAACTTAATCACATTCAGACCTATATCATGCCTAACATCAGAAAGCTATTTAATAACTAGTTTATACCAACCCAAGTCTGTTCTCTCAGTGACCACACATCTTAAAAACAGTTTTCTCTAAATGAGAAATCTACATTTCTGTACTGAATTGTTACTTGCTAGGGGTCACTCTTTCGGTAACAATTACACTTTGCTGAAACAAAACACTCATTGCCCCTGAGAAACACCTGAATAAGCCATGCCTAATATGATACAATCAAGAATAATTAAAGGCAATAACTGAAACTGTAGGCTAGTAGCAATATAAAGATTTCTCTTGCCACCAGAATCTGCCTTTTCTTCTTCCAGCCCCTGCTTCATGTAAAGCATTTGGAAATGGTGGAAGACTTAAACACCCAACTGTTCAAAAATAATCCTCATAATCCCCAATCTCTGTGTCTGGTATATAATTCACTAGGACACAACTAAACGTCTCCTGCTTATATTTCTCTCTATATGCCAAAGTCTCCTGAGTGATGGCTTTGTCTTCAAGGAAGCCATATATGTACTATAAACATCTGTGTATTTATAACACAGAATTCCCCCAATTCTCATCAACTCAGGAGATGACTGACTTTTTAAAAAAGTTACACATGCAATAGTAGTCTCATCCCCTCTGAAGGTATTTGTTTGGTCAATAGCATTCTTTAGAGAAAAGCTGTGTTGACAGGAAAAAGGACAGGTTGTTAAGAGGCTGTGGAACGATGGCAGGACTCAGCAGCTACAAGCAGAGCTGTAAACCAAGATGGGTGTCAATTCAGTCCTTTGACAAAGCCAGAGTGACTGATATAATGTGTTGAGGCACACTACACAGAGTCTTATCTGCTTAGTTCTACATAAATGTATTAAAATGAAAAAAAAAGAAAACCAAGGAAAAAAACCACTCAGAAATCAGCAGAGCTACATCTTCCCACTGAGGAACATGCTAACAGTGCTTAAGATGAAGTTTGGACTAGAAGCCTCAACTGAGAACACATGAGAAGCTCCCAGTCCAGATTCTTTGATTTTAATTAAACAGGCAAGAAGCGCTGATTAAGGGAGCTGTGTAACTTACAAAAGGAAAATCCTCACACATGATGTTACGTGGCTGAGGAAAGAGTAGAAATGAAAGATGACTGACCTATTTTTTAATCTATTTAACAGCAACTGTGAATAGTTTTATCTATGCCCCTGAAGTTCCAAATTTATTTTCTTGGTAGTTCTGAAACAGCTGTGAAATCAGTTGTTACTTGCCAATTACAGTGTAACTTTGAATAATCAGTAACCACAGCCATCCTAGAGGAGAAGCAAGCTGGCAGCTGAGCATACGTGTTAAAAGGGATGTTTATGACTGGATGACAAAGAGCAGCAGTTAGAAGGGATCAGGGCTGGAAGCAAAGGTAAGGCCAGAGACAGCAAGTGGGACTGGTGCATACAGGCCAGAAATGTGTTGTTTGAAAGAAGATAAAAACTCTTGTAGTGGTGCTAATAGCCTCACACATGAAATATGAGAACCTGTGTCATTTCCAAGGGAGTGGGGCTTTCTAGTCTGGAGAAGCCTGAATGAAACATCAAATCTGATCAAATTTGGCAATTTCTGTTAGAATGTGGCCTGGTCCTGTTCTAGAAGGATTTGTGGTGTTGTGAATTGATCCTATCACTTACAGGTCAATAATTTCTAACTCAGTCTTCCCAGCACATTGACAACTGTTAGCTCCATGTCTGGGACCTTTCTGGAGCAGTGACTGGAGCCTGTTTAGATTCCAGAACTGATATCCCAGTCCTTCTGAGTTCCCAATGGCCCTCCAAGTCCCTTTTGCTCCTCTAATCCAAGCCAGGATGTGCTGTAGCCATCTTGATGTTTGCAGGGGCAGCAATCCACAACTACATACCCTGAGTGAAGAGAATGCACTCCTGGTGAGAGGCTGTGTAGTAGAGGTAGGAAGAGATAGTCTGTGGAAGGGAGAAAGGAGCCAGCATTTGGAAGAGCAGGACTCTCACTATGCAGGCCTCTCACCCAAGCCATTCAGAGGTTAGTTCTGTTGTAACAAGTCAATTTTTTACCCCACAGTAACACCATTCAGCTTGTGCCATTGATACTTGTGTTGGAGCTTTAAATGTAATCCAATGAAGTCCATCATGAAGTACATACTATCAAATTCAGGGCTAAAAATTCCACTTAAGAGCTGTATTCAAAACAAAAATCAAAACACAACATGGCATTAACAAGATCCAAATGGAATTTATTTTTTCTACAAAGTTTACTGTGGGCCTGGCTTGAAACACGCCATAATATGCATTACTTGTTATGAATAGGAAAACCACTTATGATGGAGTACCCTGTGGCATCTGCCATTACAAGTTACTTAAAAGCATTCTTAAATACTATAAATATCCCAAGGAACTGTGACTTCTTACTCCCTCGAAAACTTTTTATAACATAGAGCAGGCTAACTTTTGATGTACACTACTGCTGTTAAGCTGGATATGACAGTTCAGCGTTGAGCTGTGTTTCTCATTGATAAGGATGCCTTAAAGTAACACTAATAATTTAGTTTTCCTAATGATCTAAATTATTCTGGAACTATAAATTCTAGGAAACTGTAACAAGTTCAAAGATATAAAAAAATGCAACAAGCTGAAAAGGGCAACATTAACAGAAATGTTATAAATATATTTTATTTGAAATTGGGTGGTGAAAGCCAAGGTAAAGTTCACCCTGTAAAGATAGCATCTACATACCACTTTCCTTGCAGAGTGTCAGAATCGGGAGTCAGCTGAATTATTTGGTGCATAATCTTTTTCTTATCTTTTTGTGAGACAAAGTTCACCCAGCGTCATAAGGAGATGGAGAAAATTAGGAGAAGGTGAGTGTTGAAATGATGAAAAGAGTACTTTCAAACAGGTACCTGTGTTGCCTTTTAATTTTTTGGCTGTCATGTGTTCATTGCTGTTGCTACCTGACCTTTCAAAATAGGGTATGGATGAAAATCTTTCTTTGGACCAGTGTTTCATGTACTTGCAGAAACAGAGGACTTACATCAATGAAACAGTTTAAACAGGCTGAAATCAGCATCTTTCTCAGGTGTCCTTGTTCTGTTCCCTCCTCAATCAAACCTAGAAAGCCTTGTTTGGAGAACATTAGCCGTCATTTTATTTTGCTAAGCAAGCTGTACAAGTTTGTGGTGTCTCTAGAAAAGGTTTTTTATGTGTTACCTACTACACTTTAAATTACTATAAACCTATCTCTGTACTGTTCAGGCTGCTTACTATACTGGCAACCAAACAGGTTTAGTTTGAGGGTGTGAAGTCCTCCTCATAACTGCCATCACCTATCTCTTAGATGCACATTGAGTGTTCCTCCCATTAAACATCTGATTGTCATAAAAGGGAAAAATACCATTTTCTTCCTGGCTTTAGAAGTTATTATTGGAAAGTCTGAATTAGTATGTCTATCAGGAGGACAAAGGAGCAGTATCAACTCTCTCCCTTCCTTTAAAGTCTTTGTAAATAAACATATAGTAAGCAACTTCTTGTTCCCAAACCCTGTGCTTGGCCCTCAGGCCCATTCAATGCCCCCAAGGGCTCTTTCTTTATTTTCTTTCTTCTTCCATCTCACACAGTGTAATACCCAGTCACCCCCAGGATTTGTTGCTAGTTATAAAAGGGTAAAGGTTTTACATTACTCTAGGCAACAGGAACACAAACCCAAAATTTCTGTCCCCTTGCTCTAGGCAACTGCTAGACAGAGTGTTGGTCTTTTTGTTCTGTTTTGTTTTGGGGTTGGTGGGTATTTTTGCTCCTGGAGGCCTTTGCTCTTAATTCATTCACCTGGGAAAATTGCATGTACTGCCTGGAGTACTTCTTGCTCAGGCCTTCAGGTTCAACCCATTGTTTTGAATAGCTGCTACCTGTATGTTTTCAGAGTTACCACTCTATAAAGACACATATGTCAGAGCGCCTTCCAGTTAGCCTGAAAGAAGAGCCAGTAGGGCAGCCAGCTGTATAAATCAAGGAGACGACTGTCAACAGATTATAACCTTTTGATGTTGATTATTAACAGTTTTCAACATTATAAAATGCTGGCCCTTTTTTATTACTCCACAAATTGTCATTACTTCCTCATCAGACACAAGCTTGAGAGCATGTTTGTGTAAAACGAGCAATAGGAACTCTAAAATGATACCCTGGATGATTCACTAAAGACCAAGGAAAAGCAAACCCTATCAGTTGACATTAAATAGTTTTTCAATGCTTATTCTATCCTATCTCCAAAGATGAAAAATTTAAAAAAAAGTGTGGGGAGGGAACCCAAAAGGTAGGGTGAACATTTTGTTTAATTATCTTGGAGTTTGTTTTGTTGTTTAAAGAATTAACCAGCTGCTCCTAGTCCAAGGGGAGCATTCCAGAGGCAGAGAGGCGCTGCAGAGCAGGTCCATACTTCCCATGCCTTTTGTTTCTTTGCCTATGTTCTGGGAGTCAAAGTTCAGAAGTATGGAAGTGTATGCTGTCTCAGCAGGTCTGAGCATGACTGGCAGAACTGTTTCTGGAAAAGTGAAAATAGTTATGGCTGGGGCAGTTAAGCTGGCTCTAGACCTGTTTTGAACTACTGGAGTGGAGCCAAGGACCTGGCTCAACCGATAGATTTTGTTTTCAGTTGCATAAGCACAAGTAACCTGCAAGACTTGATTATTTTTTTAGTACAATGGTTAAGTTCAGATAGGATTATTTAAACAACAACTACAATAGAACCCCTATAAGCACTTTTCATTTTACCTTAATCAGCCTCCTAGGTGGCTGCATCCTTGCTCGGCCTTTGAGTTCTGATCTTACAGCTGCTCAAGTGTTTTGACATATTGAGCACCACTGAATCTTTAAAGATTCTGTCCATACTCCTTTAGAAAAATCGCAGATCTTACTCATTTGTATTTTTCTGTTAGGAAAAAATAATCAGGTTTTATAATAAATGAAAGAGTAATTTTAGTATGATTGAACTTACATGGGTAACATTCTCTCCTTCTGGATACTTTTTCATCTTACTAGAAACTCTACACTTAATTTCTTTAGAAGTTTAAACACACTAATGAGCTTTTCCTCTCACAGACCTTTTGCAAAGGCTTTGGAACATATTCACATAGGGGGAAATAATTATCTTTTGAAATACGTAGTTATTGACTGTCAAAGGAATTAATATATTGCAGTTAAGTGTAGAAGGAAAAAGCACGTAAGTCAGCTGATAGAGATGGATTTTTATTTTTACTACTATAGGAGGAAAGCATACTATGTCAGATACTTCAGATATTTCAAGGCAAATCTCCCTTTGGTGGGACAAGCAAATACTTACATCAGTCATCTGATCCAGAATTAAGCAGAGTTCCTATGCAGGCAAAATCCAGACAAAAGGAAAAATTAGTCTATGCACAAAGCTTGTGCTGTCTCATCTAGACCCCTTTCTACTCCTAGTTAACTAAATACTTTTAAAACCCGGTGTTAATGTGCTAATGTAGCGTTTATACCTTGTTTCTCAGTGTGTCCACCTGACAGTTCAGAGAGCTGCAGCTAAACTGATGCCAAAATAACTCTAGTTAAACTAGTTCATGGTCTGGTCTGCATGCAAAGCTCATGATAAATCTGAGAGTATGATTTAGGAGTAGACTGTGTTAAAAAAAACTCAGGAAAGTTCCCTCCTTCATTCCTTAACACTGTGAAACCATAATAATTTACAGGAGCTTTTATCCTTCCCTAAATCCTTATGAATTGGTGGTTTACAAAATAAAGGGACAGAAAGGGCAGACTTAATTTTAGAACAAAGGGTGGTCACATGCACAAGGTCTCTACACCATGGAAATATGAATCACTAGTAGATTCATTCTGGTTTAACTGAAGAAACAAAGTCCAAATTATTCCCAGGAGCATTTTGTTGTTTGACCCCCACTGGAACTGATTACCTTTTACGACTCTCAGTAGAAGGACCTCTTAATTTCCGCGAGGTTTTATATACACCACACACCGGTGTGAGCACTGGACGTGATCTGACTGGTGTAAGAGGAACAGCTTTCGGTGCTGAACCGAGGGCTGTTTCTTACACTGTCAGCTAAAGGGGTGGCCAAACCCAGTGCCCATAACCCACATGCTTCAAAGCTTTCACGTGGCTTGGAGCCAAGAGACACTTCAATTTCGGCAAAGGCCAACAAGGCAGGGAGGGCTGTGGGCCTCTCTCGAGCAGGTGGTGACAGGGCCGCTGGGGCACGGCTGCTGTGCAGGGGCCGGTGCCAGCCCCGGCGCTGCCCCGGCGCTGCCCAGGCTCCTGACTCGTTTGGAGACACGCCGGACATGGGGAGGAGGCCGAGGACTCTCCACAGCAGCCGCAGCACCGAGCCTGCCTCGTCGGGCAGCGGCCGCTTCCAGACCCTGAGCACTCCCTGCAACACGAGTCAGGCGAGCTGCGACGACTGTCCTAAAACGCCTGCTCAGCCCGCTCGGGTTAAGCTTTAACCAGCCGCCTTCTCCACAGGTGAGCGGGCGGACGCTCCGCCCGCCACGAGACCACCCCTAATGGGCGGCTGTCAGGGGCTTCCCTCGCTCCGCTGCCATTGCCCACGAAACACGCCCGTACCGCTGCCATGGCCCACGAGAGCCCCGCCCGCCCCCGCGGCCGCCAGGGGGCGCGGGCAGGAGGTTCCAGGCCGGCTCCCACCCGCCATCCCGGGCCGCTCCCTAATGCCTGGACACGCCGTGCCCTCCCCGTCCCGCACGGACACCGAACCGCTCATGTTTTAGGCACAAAAGACGTAGTTTCAAAAAGTGTTTTTTTCCCAGATCCCACAGTTAGCGCCAAACACCATGCAGATCCCACTGACAGGCCAGCCCGCGAAGCTGGTGCCCACCGAGATGGCAATGTCAGCCTAACGCTCCGATATAAATTAACGGCAGCGAATAAAACTCCTCTGGCACCATTTCCTCATTCATATAGTCGGACTGAGCTTCACTAGGTGAGGAGCACTGCTTCTACTTGCTTCTGCAAAGCCATTTGGAAAGTCACCACTCTCTGTAACCAGGTTTTATGTGAACCTTAAGAAGGATTCTTTGCGGAACTCATCGAGAATCCAGCCATCAGCACAGACCCGAGCTGTGTTTCCTGGTATACCTTTCCCTTTTTTCCTCCTGATTTTTCATCAAATTGCCCTCCTGCCAGGAGATTCCTTAAGACTGTGTGAAAGAAGCATTACTGGGGTGGAGGGGAAGTGTTTTATTTCAACTTGTGTCAGCTGTTAAACATTTTTATCCAAGCATGTGTGCATGCAATATGCACAAGTATTAGATAATGCTGAGGTGGTAATTCCTTTTGCTGCTAAACTCTCATTTGCACAATAGGCAAGAAATGGAGAATTGAGGTCATGCATATGCCTTGCATGTAAAAAACGTACCTATGAAGCAGGAAATTCTCTCACTGAATTTCAGTTTTGTCACAGAGGCAAAACACACCCACTCACAGACATTAGAAAACAAATATCAAGGCAGTTCAGGGCAGTGATGGGAAGGCAGGGGCATTTTTAAACCTGATCTGACCTTTTAAACCTTTCTTCTTGGTACTGACTTTAGTGGGGGTACTTACCGAGGTAAGGTATAAAGGAAATTTCTTGCACACTTTCTCCTTGTTCTCATTATCAGCTGCATTTCTTTCACTGGACCTCATATGAGTCAGTGGTAGTGAGCGTAACTGAAAGCATTTTTAAAGGCGGGGTCTTACCCATTGCATCTAATAGAGACTAGGCAAAGCTGTAAGTCACCATTTTTTTTCCCTAAAGGAGGCTTGCAGTTAAAAGTAACTGTCTGATTTCTGGGGGACGACGCAGTGACTGGTATGCTGATTTAAGTGCTCCTGTCTCTATAAATGTGGGTTCTCATGCAATTTTTTACAACTTTCTGTAATTATGATAACACGGATGCAAACTTCTAAAATGTATTTTAGATGGAGATATTTATACCAATTCAACCTTAAACATGGGTACATTTACAGATGCATAATGATACATTGAATCACTACAGTGTTCCTACAGAACAATAAACTGTGTGGATATATGCATTTTTGCAACTTTACGTCCACACCATGGTGTATAACTTCCATGTGTGAAGGTAGTCTTAGAATTGTAAACTCTTGCCTTTGCTTTTTGTCTAGGAACGTTGGATGACTGAAATTACAACTGAAACACTTGTTGGTTCTTAATTTACAAGTTATGGAAACTTTAACAATTTCATTCTATCAATTGCTGTGCTGAATTGGTACTGGTAACAAAAAGGTTTACATTTTCTTCCTTGCTATGACTGGTTAGCAACTGTATGGTAACAATCCTAATATCCTAATAATTTTCCAGCTGTCCTAAGTCTTCCAAAGCCAGCAATACTGGATTTATCACCTTTTAAGTTTTTTTCCCTTTAGTTCTGCTCTACTTGTGTGCTTTATATAAACCAAACACATTTACAAGTGCCTGAGTTTTAAGAAATGTAGAAATTCTGTCAGTATCTCACTTTCTCTTGGGTATGAGGCCCCAACATGGGCATTGTGGACAGCAATGTCCACATAAAACATCCTGTCCCTGGATTTGCGGGAGCAGGGAGAACGACTGTGTGGGCTTGTGCCTTGGGAGCTCTCATTTTGGAGGACCTCCCTTGAGTATAGCGTTCCTGTAAGGATTATATTCTGTGGCCATGATGTAGTATGGGTGGCTCCCCTCCAGCTGCAGGATTCAGCACCCCTGGCTTGGATCACTCTGCCAGCACCCTGTTAATACAGTTATGGAAAAGCACTGTCCTGCAAAAGCATGAAATCAAAACTGCAGCTCACTTCATAACCAGAGCAAACTACCACTTTACTCCAGCCCTCATTTACCTTGGCTGAAGTGGTGGCCAGGGTCTAAGCATGTGCAGAAGGATTGTGGTGGGGCTGTTTTACCTGTACACACCGTGACTCACCCATGTGTTGTTAAGTGGGGAGACTCCAGAGTCCCTGTCGAGCCAGCTATTGTCTTCTTTCAACTCTGCTCTTATTTGGCATCTACCATCAGAAGGGTGCCTGGATAGTTAATCTCTTTGCCTTATCTCTTAAAGCCTTCTATGCAAGATGAGTAGCAGGACAGAAGAAAATAAGGTGGAGGCCAATGAGTCTCATATTAAATGGATAAGTAAGTCAGAATACTAGTCACAGTTTTGAGTCATCACATTTGTTGAATGAATGACTCTATGAAAATCCAACATGGTCTCTATTTGAGCAGATGTATATGCTTCAGATTGACTCATCACTGTAATCTTTAACTGAATAACCCAGGTCAGCTACTGGGACAACTTCTCTTCATGTATTCCTCAACAGAAACTGCACTGCATGGAATCATTTCAATATGCAAGCAGGTTTGTCTGATCTCAGTATTAGCGACCAAAAAAAAAACAAGGTGGGACTGTATAGTCATATAACAAAATCATAAAGTAACATCCTTGAAATTATTTGTTGTACTCATCAACTGGACAGAGAGGTGTTCAATCTAAGTAATTCAAATAAGATGAATGCAAACTTAGGTTAGTATTATACAGTTTGAAAGTTCTCAATCTTAAATTTGACTGCATAAAGAATATCTTAATGATCCAGATCCAGGTTTCAAGCAGGCCGATGCAGGATATTTAAATCTATTGTAAAATGCCATACATCGCTCCAATAATGACAATGTGCATATGTAACAAAAAATAGCATATACACTCATTATTCATTCATTTATTCATTCAAAATCCTTCACCAGTCATCATTCATTCCAAATATTGGTTAGCAATGAGAAATTCAGCATATTTTAGTGTCAGAAAATTACAGTAGGATCAATACTCTATATACTGTGCACTACAACTGTGAGAAAGAAAATGCAGTACCAAGCCTCTCAGAATTTAAGCTGGTTTCAGAGACACTATTAGGAAATGAATAGTGGTTTCACAACATCATTTTATAATTTTGTAACCAGGTTAGAGGCCAATCACACATGGTCATTGCCACAAAGTAGATAAGGTCAGAGTTCCTCCCCACTAGTATAAGGTTATCAGCTTAAATACCTTTAATAGTATTTTCTGAGAGGGGAAAAAATAGGATATGATTAAAGTAAACTTTAAAGGAACATATCTCTTAATTCCTGGAGTTGCACAGAAATTAAACATGCAATATCCATTAAAAGCAGTGAGAACTGTATGTCTAAATCCTATTAAACTGTGAAAAAAAAATGAAGGACATGGAATGTCTTTCCATAGAATAACTCCAGTGGTATAACAAACATCTCCGTGTTCCCCAAGGGCATTGTTGAGGGATGGGCCCTGCTGTTCTCGGTGTTCTTTAACCTCAACAAGAGCCAAAGCAGACTCCAGTCATGACTTACTGCCCTCTATGATAGCAACAAACCCAACCATTGTGCCTCCATTTGCAACTGTGGAATGCCTGGGTTAATTCTTTTAAGAAACTACCTGAACATGTGACCATACAAAAAATTCACTGACCACAGGGATTGATTCTTTACCTTTCTCTGGGACTTGTGAAAGCATCAAGTGATGAACGCATCCAGCAGTGGCAGAATAAGGAACATCCTATCCTTGTGATTACAGAACTGCTTTAAAAGCATGTTACATACAACTGCACTAGAATGAAAGAAAGATTAAATGCCTGTGAAAAATCATCTGCGTATCTCTTCCGTGGTTTTTTTTTTTGACTGAAGTATGTTATTTATAAGTGAGTATGTTATTAAACACTGAACATAGCACTTTACAGCCAGTAAAAGACAATAGACCAAATGTTACTGTTATCCACAGCTGGAGTGGATTGATAAAACCAGCACAGTGTCTTTGCTCACATAGTTTAAAGTCTAAATAAAGATATATGATCAAAAGAGCAAATTGACTTAGCAAAGTGACAGAGAAAGGGCAAAAGGTGAAAAAAGCTATATCGGTAAAATGCATAATTGAAAAAATATTTTGCTGGGTGCCCTAAGCTTTATGAAAGTGTACTCTGGTTTGTTTGCATTAGGGAAATGAAGGATTTTCCAAACAGTGTTTGGAAAGAAAAGGGATGATACTATTCCCCAAAAATCTACTCAGTGCACTAAAATGAGTCAATGCTCACATATATGTTATACTTCTTTTTTATATGCTCCAGTCAACTGGGAAAAAGATAGAGATTATTAATAACATGTTATTTGACCGAACAACTCGCAAGCTATCATTTACACATTTTCACATTTATCTTTTCAACCATATGTTTTTTACAAAAATTAGAGTTGAGAACCTAGCATGCCATTCAAGGTCCAAGGATGTTCTTTATGAAGAAATCCAATGAATTTTTTCTCAGTCTTCAGTCAAACCCTGAGAGAACAAAGCAGCAACTCTGGAGAAAAAATAAACAAAAAAGCAAGAGAGCAAGTGGCAAAACACACTCTACAAAAGTACTCTCCCAATTGCATGATAGTACAGGTAGAACTAAGTAAAACTTTCACTTTTTCACTGTTCCAATTATATGATTTTGATAAACATTAGTTATTCCAATATAATTTAAAGTGTGAATTTAAAGTGACAA